TGTAATGAACCGATTTCCAGTGCGTCGCTTATAATTGCTACAAGACTTAGTCACTGACTCGTCTGTCTTCACGCACTCAGTTCCCCCACCCCTACCCTCTCAAGTGAGACTGGGCTAGTCTCGTAAGCAATTCATGCTAGCCCCCTCTTCCCCTGCTCTATTACAGAGCTCCGAAATAGGAAATGTTCAGCTACTCGCATACGTTGTTCACTTCTTGTTCTACGTTCTTTTGTTCCTGTACTTCAAATGTTTAGGAGTAACCTGTGAGTAAAAATTACATTTTACAAGTTTCTGTCGTTATACACTTGGAGACACGATCGGGGGACCAGACCCAACGAAAAAATTCCTTTTTTAGTTTACAAGAGGGCAGTCAGTGCTGTAGGGAAACGATTCTATGGCTGGAAAGGGGATAGTCGAGTTTTCGTTCCGTTTGTCCTAATTCAAGTACTTGCCCTAGAGGGGGTAGTCCCCCATTTAGCTATATGGACACGTATTGATCCATAAGAGTTAAAATGTGAGTAGCTTGCGTAGTTAATAATGAGTTCAGGTAACTTAGCCTTCAACTGGTCTGAATACCGTTTCAAGTATGAAACAAAATTGTTTTGAGACCCGGTCAACATGCCAAGACCAAGCCTTCGGAGAAGTAACCTCCAGGAACTTGTTCCCTCATTAAAACCAATTTGAATTTGTAAAAGGAGTCTCGACAAGATTATGTGAGAAAAACGGAAACGAAAGTCTGCCCCCGAGCTCATGTCTTCTTGTGTATACCAACGTTAGACTATTTATAGTTTATTGGAAATATGTTTAGTAAAAATATGTTTTGTAAAACGTTGTCTCTGGCTTGATAGGGAAACGTTTGGGAAATTACTAATCTAAAAAAAACCTTTGCCATCGTTACGAAGATTTTATAATATAAGGGGCCTAGATAGCGAAGAACGAAGAAGTGCTTCCTTAAAGAAAGAGTCTAATATCTGGATGGAACTAAGGAGTCTGATTCTCTTAAGTCTTGCTAATTTGCGAAATACTAACTACTTATTAACTGAGAGTGAGGTCTTTACCGGAAAATATCAGACTGAGACCATGTCGTGTTGACCGCGATAAAGCAAGGCTGAGGTTTGAGATTTTCTTGTAAAGACCGGACTTTGAAGGTTAATAAGTTGTTTATTATATGGCTTTCTGCTTTGTTTTTGCAGGCCCGTAATTAGCCCTTGGGTATTACGGGAGAATAATGTCCTACATCGAATTAGCCAATCAGACCGCGCGTTATATCGCCTACAAACGCAAGCCATATAATAAATGCAGGGTAATCCAATAACAGAGCTAATAGATCCTGGGTTTCGACGTGTAACTGCTGACTAACAAGTACTGACTGACTAATACTCTGTCCATGAAGGACTGTCATTAGCTTCTCATCGCTTGGCCTTTTATTTCACTTACAATTCAATGAGATTTAACAGGGAACTCACTAAAACATCATCTTGCTAAACAGCATCTCTTGCACGCCACGTTTTTTTCTGTTGTGACGTAAAATCCAAGCTCACATATTCCATATCAAGCCAGGGATGGCGTCAAACCCCGTCCCTACCCTACTCCCTACAGTGTGTATTTGTCACTAATGTAAATCCGTGATGACGCTTTTCACTGATGTCATATGACGTCATGACACGTGACTAACGCTTATGCCAAATTTTCACTAAGGTTTTCAGTTACAATTTATTTGTTATCTAACAACAACAGGAAGTACATACATTATAGTTCTGTACATCATTGTTTGTTTCGTAAATTCCATTTTAGTTTTTATGTTTGTGTGCTTGGCTCTGTCATCCAAACATAATCCAGTACTCGTCATGTTTGTCTGTTCAGTGTTTTAAACATTTGTTATGCGTGACAGTCCTTCATTCAACGTCTTTTGTTTTTCTTCGTGACATTCACGATACAACCACTCTTTACTGTAACTTAAATACCAACAATTCTAACTAAATCAAATGCCTCTTTTCGCTGTAGCTGCTTTTGCTTCTCAACTGTGCACTTACTTCTACAGTGACACGCTGACACAGCCGGAGGCCTGCAATTAATTCTGCCAACTGTGTTAGCTTTTCAGTTTCTCGTGAATCGGAAAATCATTCCCAGTAGTCCAGCGTGTTCCTGGTTTTTGTCCTGGTTTCGATCGTCTTTGTCTTGCAAGTCTTGGTCTTGGTGTTGTAGGTATTGGCCATGTATTTCTGGGTCTTGCAGATCTTCGTCCTTGTCTTGCAGGTCTTGGCATAGCTCTTGCAGGTTTTGGCCCGGCTTTTCTTGGTGTGGCAGGTCCTCGTCCTTGTCTTGCAGGTCTTGGTCTTGGTCCTGGGCT